GTGCTTGGTCAATAACTTCTATGTACATTACATGACAACGTAACAACAGATTTAATTATGATAAAATAATATGTTTAAATAAATAGTTTCATTATTTTAAATGTGTTTTCAGTAAAAATGCGATTATATTATTATTATATTACATTGTTATTGTACATGATTTAGTAAGCTGTGCACGGTCGTTAGAATTTCATAACGTTTTGAATAATTTATTGACACTTTTGGCGCACAAACTCATTTTGTTTAACGAGCTTTATCTTTTCTGTTCGCGAGTAAAATTTATAACACAATGCCTAAAAGTAGGTATAACCATGTGTTGTATGTACGTAATATATATATATATTTTAAATATGTATATTATCATATACCAGTATACCACGATTACCACCACAAAACACACATATACTCTATATATTTGAAAAATCCTTAAAGAGGTAGTTTAGTGTAATATAATAAGAAGGACTTTATACATATATCTATATACACAAACCTCTAGTTACAAAAATGTTTGAAACATAATATGTCGCTAGTTATAAATATACTTCTCTCCCTGTGTGACTACAGCGATTTGATAAGTGATTACCATCGCCGTATGAACTGGCCTATTATTACAAACCTTATTGCTGCGAAGATTTACATTTTGCAACGTATCAATACGGCTTTAACGATATGGATTTTTGTTATCATTTTAATCGGCTGTTGAAATATAATAATAATAATAATAATAATAAATGTATTATTATTCCATGTACGTGTGCGATATTAAAGTAGCGAACCAGTCTAACAAACGCCAATATTTTGTAATTGTGTACGTAATATAATACTAATTTAATTAAAAACCAATTTTAACCAATTTCGTATTTAATAAACATAACTCATAATGTTAACATGAAGCTATTTGTAAAAATCTGGGTAGATAGGTATCATTATCATACAAGTATAATACACGATATTTCATTATGAACAATATAGTCAAAACGATCTCACTTCAATATGACTTCTTGCTAATAATAATAAAGTACATATTTTTGCAATATCGATTTGTGTTTTATGTGTTTTGATATTTTGGTAACAAATTTTATTGCTTAAAACTCGCGTTGTTTAATATAAACAGATTGTTGTTCAAAATAAATTAAATAAATGTACCCAATACGCATAATCTTGCGAAGTATGAACAACGATCGGTATCGCAATATTTTATCATATTTATTTCTCTTACAAATAGTAATAATTAAACAACATTAAAAATTTAAAATGTGAATTATGGTAGTGGGATCATTTTATGGAGCCCAATTTCAAACAGAACAATATTGAAGTTAAGCCACACGTAATTCAGATTTTTATTAAGCGCAATGTGGATATAAAGAGATTGTGCGAAATTACTGCAGCTAGGTATATCGTATATTCATTCCCGTTTCCGACGAAAATGCGTTGAAACTTCAAAATTGGTATTATTGTGGTACTCGAACTTCGAAGTTTCTCGACGAAATTTGTCAACACTATTTGAAATGGTTGTGCAAAGACAGTTTATCGACATTTGTAGTCGTATCCCCACACCCGGCCAACGAACTCAACGTATAGCTCAAGCTATATTATACAATTATACTACCTACTAGCTCTATAAATGCATGTACCTACATAATATAATATAATTATATTTATGCAGTTAGACACCTGTTTCGAGCACGATTATTAAACGTGGTTAAATGTATTGAACGTCGCCAACCAATCACTTATTAATGAATCTTAAGTGATTTTAATTAACTCATATTATGACGGTCGTAATATTATTGTTCATTAGCATAATAGTACTTTACGTCCGAGCTATAAGTGTAGCTATTTCTTTTTAGCTAATAAATGCACTCGTAAATTATTATACCATTATAAATAGGTAGGTTGTATATTATAAAGTTAATATTTTTTTTTTCGCCATTTGACTGTTTTTACTATAATATTTTGTGCTCTGTAAAATTAATTGAATAATGCGTCCGAATAAAATATGTGATAGATATAATTGATATTTGAGTAATATGGTATTTAATAATAGTGTTTAATATTTTCGAGTTAATTGTTCACGACTTACACATATTTTCATTATATAAAACGAAAGAACCACGGATGATCTTACTACGGCCAATATTACTGTTGGATTTGTGATTATTTTAAAATATCGTCTCTACGTATAGTTATGTAATTATTAAATGGGTGTAAATTATTCTACTGTTATGGATAAAGTAAATAGTAAACAACGTTAAAACAAAAATTAAAACATTCATAATAATGGTAGGTATCGGTAATTTAAATATAAAATAATACAACGATACGATTTCCAATCCCATATAACTACACATAGAATTTATGAAGATCATAAAAATATTATTACCTCAACGAAAAAATATTAGACAACCTATAGAAATTTTCGTTTAGATTTTCACTTAGAAAAAATCTCCTAGTCCTACTTGCGGCAAAATACAGTATCGTTATCGAATCGTCATTTGACAGTATCACAACGATATTTGCTTAATTTTGGGTTGATAATTTGCTATACCACACTTCAATACAGTTTTAAATAATAGAGTAATATAAAATGTGTTTAAATTAAAGTTTGCTTTAAATTTGCGTATTAAATTTAAATTAATGTGGATTTCTACCAATCGCCAAGCAAATTAGTGTATTACTTTTACAATGTCGTCAGCCAATTGGACGATAACAAGATAATAAAAATAATAATAATATAATCGTGGATAACGGAAAAAGGTTTATCAAATAGTGATACTGGTAACTGTGAGAGAAAAATACGCACGACATTGAATCGCTGAATTAAGTTTGAATATAATAAAGGTATATTACACAACAGTTTTTAAGCAGATTGAAACTAAAATCGATTTTTTGATATTTTGTATTATAATATTTAGCTATGTATTCCATTAATCATTGATCAATGTGATTTCATTATTTTTATCTTCTGAAATGTGGTTATCATCCTTGGCTTGTTACGCTCAGTTGAATTTTAACCATAGACAATATAGGAATGGATGAAAAATTCCCATATTAATCTCATGTGAACGATTTCTCCGAAATTGAATTATCAATACAGTATAATAATTATCAATTGTCCACGCTAAAATCGCTTTAGTTTTAACTCATCATTAAAATCAAAAATATGAGTACTAGTCCTATCGGTATTATATTATTTATGGTTTTAACTGATTTATTATGTTAATAATGATTATAATATAACTGACCTTAGTAGTTGTAGTTCCAAGGGTTAAACGATTATCGATACGAGTATAACCTATCCATTCGGTATATTCCTTGATTAAACTTCTCTCTATCCCATACCCTAGTCTGAAATTCTACATGATATGATTAGGCTCTTGCGATACGAATGAATAAAAAAACCACGTTTCTTACATAATATTGATCGGTATTGAATTTTTTTACTGTAAATTGTTAAAAAGATGATTTTTTTTTAAATGTTTATGAATATAAATTGAAATTTTAACGAATAGTTTTTCTAAATCAATCAACCTTGAGTACTAAAGATAATATAGTTCACAATAATAGGATACTCCTTGAACGGTATAAAAAAAATATAAGTATTTGAAAATATAGTCTTTAAGTATGTATTTAAAAATTCCAACGATCAAAATTTCAATAAATGCGTTATTAAAGGATAACAAGAGATGAGCGTACTTGATAAATCATAATGTTTAACGATAAGTAATATTTAAACCATAATTTTCTTGTAAGTTGTCTCATTGGTCTAACGACTCTTACCTAATCGCATTTGTTGACAAATTAAAATATCACAATAAATTATAATTTTTTCGTCAAAAGACAGTCGCAATTTTTTTTCAAAAATGTAACATAAACCAAATCAACACAAATAATAATTATTATTTAATACAAATTAAAATTTACATTATTATGTTCATTTAAAGACTCTGAAAACGTTTCAAAAAAATAAATAAATAAGATCTTAATTTAGTTCAACTTTATGCATTAATAATGACTAACAAAATAATCTACTTGTATAAAAATGATTGTTTTTTTTTTTTTTACAACCTATGACAGCGTCATAACTTTACGATTTATTTTAACTTTAAATGAGTTGTGATTTAATGTGTTCATTTATAATTTTATGATTCACGTGTTTTATTGGTTGTACATAATATTATATAACATGCATATAGTTCATTGCTACTGTAATATACTAATATAATAATTAATTACATATTAAAAAAAATATAATATCTTCGTTAAATTATATAAAATTATACGCATGTACTTTTTATACGTATTTGTCTTAAATAACTTTTCTAATCATCCGATGTGAACTGTGAACACAATAATTACTAAAATTACTGGTATTGTGTAAATTATTGTAGTCACATTGTAGAACGGATTTTTGTTATAAAACAAAATGGTATAACTTTGTATCTTGTATCGATAAGGCAAAAAGAAAGGGTAATGTTAAAGATGCAAGAAGAGGAGTGCTTTTTTTCTAATTTTCTCGAATTTCCCAGGTGTTTTCATCTGTACAATTTCAGCGTATTATCTAATTTTGCAGAAGTCTGCTAACTAAAACCCATGGCCTGTAGGCCACATTTGACTAAACGACAAGTTTTTACTTTATTGCATTGAAGTAATAAATCAAAAATGAACTGTTCAATATTAACAAAACTACCTATAGTACATTTTTAAAAGTTCGCGAAAAATACACTGCAAACAATTTAAATTACTCTTAACACCTCTCTAAACAACGGAATTCCGTGACCGTTAAAAAAATGTACTTATTTATTATTTTCATTGCATTTATATATCCTACAAGACTAAAAATTATAAATATAATTACATATCTTAATATATTAATTTGCTTATGACCCTCGATTAAAAAAATTTAAAGACCTCTGTAATAGTGGAACGAGACAACGAGACACTTTTCACTCCGCTCACGATTGCCTGTTTTATTAAGCATTTAATTTCTTATCTTACAGCCTACAAGTGTCACGGGAGTTGGAAAGATAACGGCACGATGCACCAGATAATCAGCAGCGACTTGCCGACAGCGGCTGGCTGGAAGAAGCTGTACTGCCTTGCGTACGTAAAATGGCCTCCGGACCGCCTGCAAGTATTCGTATTCGCAGATAACTGCAACCTAAACAACAACCGTACCGCGACGACTGGGCACGATGAAGGGCTCGTTTTGTCGTTTAACATTTCGTTATCACCATCTGGTAAGTCCGGATAGTGCACAATATTATACTATCATTTCATCATGATATAATGTCCCGCAGAATATTCTAGAAAAACGTTCTAATAATATCTAATAATAATTTATTAATATTTGTCAATTACATTATCGTATTCAAATAGCATTAACTGTATGAGGGTTTATTCACTGCTAAGCATTTGTTTTCATTGTCAATAGCTATTTCTTATATTATTTTTATTTTTATTTTTTGCATTTCTTTACTTTTTAACTCGAAAAAATGTAATACCGGGTTTCCAACTAAAAACAAATAAATAAACAATAATTGTTCTTCCCATAAATTTTCATTTAAAAAATAAAAGTGAATAATATAATGAAATAATATCTTGATTCTGACTCGGTTAATTGGGTATTACGCGTGTTTATACGTTAATATCGATAAGGATGTAATTTTGCATACTATCGATGAACTTAAAAAAGTGAGTTACAAATTTTATTCAAAATATTATCGTAATATTCTTAGTAAAAAATATTATTTTGCATATTTTATATATTTTAGACGTCAGTATAAATGCATATCATGTTTTTTTTATTTTATTGCATACTCTGCAGAGAAAAATTATGAATTTTGCATTTTACACTAAAATTTAATATTTAAATTTTATTATTATTATTATTATTTTTTTTTTTTTATTGAGATTATGTATTTGGTTTTTTAATAATAATACAACAATTTTTTAAGTATATTTTTAATATTTTTCACATATTTTGAATTTATTAATTTATAAGTTTTTACAAATTTACCTATTTTCTAATGTGAAAACGTATGAATATTTTATGGATTTTTATAAGTGCATTTAATTCACAACATTGTTTATTAAAGATACTATATAATACTTAAGATAATATTATATACCTTGGTATCCCATAATAATGTCTTCCGAATAATTTCGTGCTATCTGTAAACTACTGCCATCGTTTCGTAACCACACATGCTTTCAGGAAGAAGAGAGGACGAAAAAAAGAATTCACTACCGTTTTAGTGCTGTAGGTACTTCCTAACTATGTGTCGCATATAATACGGCATACTGAAGTAGCCCGCGTGTACGAATAGCGAATTCCCGTTGGACCCACCAACCTATATTATCCCGTCTTAAACCCCAAAGCCGATTATTCTTATTCCTCATTCTCGTCGTATGTATATATATATATATGCCACTATGAATGTAATAACCTTCGCAAGACTTTCTTTTTTTTTCGTTTTTTCTAGTTGCAATTATTTTTTCTCTTACTTTTTTTTATTACTATTACTATTATTATCACCTTTTATACTATCGCCACCGACCACTATACACTGCCCCGTGGCTAAGACATAATATTATATCATTACAACTTATGACGATTTTCTATAACGTTAAAAATAGCAACAGTCTTATTGGCCAGGTATTAACGTTTACCCAAAAATGTGATAAATAATAATTTTTATTGGTTTTACTCAGATCGTGAAATTATCGCTCTATTTAACTTTGCCGGGTGAAAAAAAAATGTCTTGCTGGTAAATCCGTTGTATCGTCGTGTAATAGTATGTACGTTCTACGAATTCTACGACACGAATTATGAACGACAAATATATTATTATGTATACTGTATATATTATTATAATATACTCAAACGATCTTGTTCAGTGACCATGGAAATGTTGGGATTATAACGACAAAAAATGATAATATGTGCGTCATTGTAATGTTATATGCGTGATAGTCAATAATAACGATATCATGAAAAATATTCTATACTAACATAGTCTTATAATAGTAGATTAAATTATATTAATTCAATGCTATTTTATCAATTCCATAGGTTTCATGGACTATAATATTTTTATTTGATAAATACAATTTACCTTGTTTGTATATTAATTAAATATTTAAAAATTAGTTCATTATTGTTTGGATATGTCCTATAAATATTTATAAATAAAATAAATAACTATTAAGCTATTCGAAATTACAAAATTTAAAATTTCTTTTTAAATACTTACATGCATACATTATCATTTTTAGGTACGTTATAATGGTTAATAAGGTCGATATTTTTTAATATCGATATAAATATTTAAAATTATGTCGTTATAGGCCATCATTATAATTATTATAAATTGTATTCTAACCTCAAACTGAACTACCGAAAACGAGTATACAAGTGATCATAATTTTACTAATAATTACATAGTATTGCAATATATAAAACGGTGTTTAATGACGTGCACCTGTATTATAATGTATAGTGTATACAATAAGTTAAAATATGTATGATTGTTAAATAATTGTATTAAAATGTATATTATTTCAATATTGCAGGTGAAAAGCCGTGTAACGAGGTCAACAAGTCGACAATCGTCGAGGCCACCTTGACCATGATAGTGGTCTCCATCAGTCTACTCTTCTTGCGACAGTCGGCTGACAGATGATTTTCGTATTAAATCGCGCAAAATCTCAAAATCATAATGCCGCCGTCAAATATATTGTGTGTATACGTCATTGTTTCGTTGTTTCCTTATAGCAAATGCATTTTGACAAAACTTTATTTTTTTTTTAAATAGTGTAAATAATATTATACTAACACACATGCGAGGGCGCGAGCGATTATCTCTATAATAGTCTATGACATGTAGAGACGGACGAAAATGAAACATATTTTGTGATGCTATTTGAAATTATATTTTGAAGAAAAAAATTTATGTAATGATATAATCAATCGCTTTTTTTTGTTTCACAATAATAATACGTACATATAATATGATGGTGAATAGTGTATACGTATATAAGACTGATCGCCGTTTTCTTCATATACCTTTCCATAGACGCAATTATGTTCGATTAGAATTTGTGGGTTCAGGGGGTTAGGTGCAAAAGAACTAAAGATGCTGCATAATATTTTTGTACGTGGCCGTTTCGAAGGGATGAATAATCCATTCGACGGTCGAGTACTGCACTCTAATAAAAAAAAAAAAATGCTACAATCATGCATAATATACTATTATAATATAATATTATCAGAACTATATCGTACGTAGATAGGAACACCTTTATTATTATATGTTTATTATATAAATATAGATACTACCGCTCTTCGTTATCGGGAGGACGATATTATGATAGGGTCCACGATGATGGGGGGGGGGCGTAAAAAGGGTCGACGACGAAGAAAACGCACTCGAATGCGGCACGCATTATTTAGCATTATATTATAATAATACAGAGCAATGATTGGAGGGAGGTAGCGCAAAAAAAACAGAGTTTTCGAGTGTAGAACCATTTAGTCCCGCGCAGTTTTAATAATATTGCGTATATATAGTAGATCGTTGTCGATGAAAATTATTTCGAGAACTCGCATTCGTCTGCGGAAACGGATACGGAGCGCTCTAACCGGAAAACTCTGTAAAAGAAAAATATTTCTCGATGCGCGTCGAATTTAAGGCACTATCATTATTGTACCTATAACTCTAGGCAATTATTAAAATACAATATATATATTATAGTATTATATATGTAACGCGTAAGTTAATAGTTTTTTTTTATGTTTTGTTTTCTATTCGTCTCAAAAAAAAAAAAAAAAAATGTGAAATGGAAACGCGGGCAATAATATTTTTGTAGATAATATAATACAATATGATGTACACGTGTAATAATCATAACAGTATGTTACATATTGAAACCTAGTGATAATTTTTTGAAAGTTTGTACAGTACGTATTATTATGTTATATTATTATTATTATTAAAACACGGCGTTATAATACGTACGTTTTGCGATGACTTACGTAATCTGTCTCATCTCTTCTATGTGAATAATGTGGTAATATGTCATTTATATATTTTACTACTTCTTATGATATATAAACGTACCCAAAATGAGTTATAATAATAATGATAATAACAATAATATAATATCGTATTTACTAATATAGCAATAATGTTGTAATTCATCGTGATTTTGTTAATTTTCGTATTGTTATAAAACAAAATTAAAATATAATAATATATAATATATATATATATAAATGCATAACATTGTAATATCCCAGCGCGTTATTATTTTCAATTTTATTACTATTATGTGTCAGTATAGCTTATATACACGGGAGAGCTCACCCTGGGTCGGCGAGGTTATCGTGTTTTCTTTTTTTGGAGCAAAAGAATGTTAGATTCTTCAGTCGCATACAGCAGCCGGTTATTACATATTAATACGTATTTAGATTATTTATTTTATGTTTGTTCAACATTCACGACCTGATAACGCATACTCGGAATCCATACATTTATATCATAATAATCTCTACTAGAATAACATTCGCAACATGCATTCAACTATTTTCCACGCCATATTAACTTTTTCATTTTTGTTCCGTTTACGTTATAATTTGTCTTTCCCATTCTTATATTATGATAATTTTTCATTTCCCCGTTTCGTATCAATCAATGATCACTAAACATTATTAATATTATAAATTCTAATCGAACGGGTAAACAAACTTTGTCGCGTACCTAGTAGGTAATTGTAATAATTATTTTTTTCAGAACGTTTTAGTAAATTAATATTATCGCGTGACTGTGCGATACCTCTTTACGTATAATATATTAGAAAAATAATAGAAATATAGGTAGGTACACTCTCTTATCTCAAAATAAACACGATATTATACTTTCTGAACAGTAATAATATTATAATTTGCCAGTCATGATTGGCGTTGCGCTATTTTTTGTCGTCTCGTTCACTCAGTTCAGTAAATTTTTACTTTTTAGCTTCTTCAAATCGTTATTATAATAATATAATATTTTTATTGATTTTGTAATATGCGTGATTTGACCACCTGAGAGACCGCGTACATAGTAGCGTACGTCAACACAGTATAGATAATGCCCGTACCCACTGAACGGGAGTTAACGATAAATGTAATTAATTATAATATTATGATATTTATTTTTCAAATATTATGAGGGGCAAATCGACTGATTGTGATAATAGTTTTACGTTTATATGAAAAAAAAAAGAAAAATTATAATAAATAAATGAATACTTAATAATAATGATTTTGATTTATATAAATTTAAAATGAATTTATAAGCTAGTTGACGGCTGAGAGTAATTGAATTGTACAAATTTCGCAATGAACTTGTGATGTTCTTTTTTTTTCAATAACACATTTTTGTTTTTTTTTTTTTCAAAAATATATTATGTTAGACCTAATCATGTTTAGATTACGTAATTAGACGATAAGGAAAATGACGTACAACATAGATTTAGTATAATATTTGTTATTGTAATATTATTTAATTTTTCTTTTTTAATTTGTATAATTTTATGAATAGTAATAATTGGAATTTAGGTGCCTTGATTAGCTCGTTGTTAGAATCTTCTTATCTATTTGAGAGTACAAAATACTGATTTGGAAAACGCACAGTTTCCGCTGAGCATGCACACAGTGGTTATATATTTAAATATGTGTGTGTACGTGTGAACGAGTGTGCTTCTATATTATATATTATGTTTGTTTGTCTGATTGCTTTATATAAAACAATATGTACACGAAACGAAAATGTTATGAATTCTAAACGAAAAGATAAATACCTTAATATAATATTATGTATATTATTAATTATATTGTGGTCTGACAGCGATGGACTCGATAAAACATCGTTGAGATTACAAATACCGTTCTTTTCATACGCGATTCTTTCTGTAATATCTTCAATAACGCACTACGCCGGAATATTCTTGTAATGTGGAAATAATCGTTATTAAATACTTACAAAGCAAATACTATTAAATTCGATAAGTCTAACCGACACGATAGCTATAAAATATACTTTTGAGACTTTGAAAGTCGAATTAATTTTTACATTACTAAATAGTAAATACGCATACAAAAAATAAACATATACCTTACTTTAAAATAAAGCGGCTCGGGGCCAACTAAACACATTAACTAATTTTCAGCATAGATATCGGAAACTTAATATATAATTTAGAAATTTTTTTTCTTGGTTACCATATTTTTTATTTCATGCACAAGGATAATTAAAAAATCATTAGCAACGTTGCGACACACTCGAGTACACCTCATGTTATATGCATTATTATGTATAAACCTAGTTAAATAATATATATTTAAGTCACAGTTAATAATTAATACCAATTTGTTACCAATGTTTTTATTTATTTATTTGTTTGTTTTTTTTTTTTTTTTTTTTTTTTTTTGTCATTGTTGAACTATTTTAGAATTCAAATCTGTATTGTTCAAACGATTACCGGATATTATGTACAATTGAAAAGTAGTTTAAATTATTATTATTATTATTGTATAACACGTCTTTAATTTTCTTGTAGCTAAATTAATAAAGTCTTTAGTTCAATATTAAACATATTTATTTGGGTAACTATATAATATTATATTTATTTATTTATTTATTTACAGGATAATATCTAATAATATTTTAAAATATAATAACAAGGTGCATTTAAAACATAAAAAATAGATAATTAATTTTAGAATAAAAAATTTTGAATTTAATAAAAATTATTCACACATAAATTCGAATAAAGACAGAAGAGTTAAAATTAAATAAATCAATTTGGGCTTCGTTAACTTATCTCATACTTCTATTTATAAAAGTATTCAGGGCATAATTAGTTTAAAAAATTCGTATATAAAATTTATTAGAAGACCTAGTTTGAAATTGAGGGACAGTAAAATCAAAAAAATGTATAGATAATATGGAATTTATGCTACTTAAGTTTGTCGTCCCTCAAATGCTGACCTAAATATAGTAGTAGGTACACCGCTGTGTCTCGTTTTTTTCTACACTGACCTTCTATGAAGGTTACACAATGTTTAATGAGTTTGTTTTAGAATTCACAAGGTATTCTATGTATAGTATGTACAAACAAGAAGTCTTGGCGCATAAAAATTGATTTACACTGAAAACTATTTACAATCATACCAATTACCAGATAAACAAAATGTTCGATGAGTATGTGATGTGTATACAATTATTAATATTTAGTAATGCCTATAGTATCCACTATATAAAAAAAGTAAATAAATTATTCATATAACTAATTATTCTTGCTACATTTAAGTACAACATATTAAATTGTGTGATACTTTTAAACAGTAAACATTCATTATACCAAAAAATACTAACGTTTTTAAACATATGTATTTTATTTTATTTAATAATTTTAGCTCGTTAAATGAAATAACATTTTTTCTATTTTCTATAATTTTATAATATTTTTGATAAATAAGTATTTTTTGAATAATAATTATTACTTTTCAACAATTTAATTTTATAATTATTTCAAATTATGTAAATTATATATATATATATATATATATATATATATATATATATATTAATATTCACGTTAAGATTTTATAACCTTTATAAACGTTAAGACTCGATTAAATTAGTGTTTACTATTAAAATTATCGAGTTATGAAGTATTTCCATTTTATATTCCTAAACTAAAAATCGTCTTTAATTCAAAATACAAACAAGTACTTATTTTTAATGATTAAATGATGCTATAAAATCAAATAGATATACAATTTTAAAAATATTAAACCAACATTTGGTTTAAATTATGTACTATAATTTATTACATGATAATATGTTATATAATTATAATCGTCCAATGTTGTAGGTGCGGTATTTTAACAATTTGTAAGATGATAGTTTGTAATATTATAATGGAGCACAATTTGAATCGGGATAAAATTGCGATACCTAGTGCATGATATTTTATCCGAAGTTTAATATATTATTAAGTATCTAAATGAAATTCTATGGATAGTTCATACTCTAAATTCAAAATTCCACTTAATCGTTTACACATTTTACCGATTTTAAACATAATCACTACCTATATTATTTGCATGTATATCATATATTATACACAATGAATCTACAATGTGTTTTTAGTGAAGAACAAAAATAATACTTTTCGATTTTCAGCGTTTATTACATGCGTCATAATTTACCTATTTCAATGT